CACTTCAGACCAACTGTTGTGACAATTAGCCTCGGCCTCTTCCGCTACTTCAAAGAAATCGGTTTCAAGCAATTGCACAAATCAGCCATAGATAACTGGCGTTACACAGATCAGTCAGAAGTTAATTTTACCAATCAAATATCAAAAAGACCAAAACTGTACGCGAAAGTATCTCTGGAACGCGTTTTTCATGTATTTCGCATATACCGCGGATACTTAGCTTATGCGATAAATCGCAACCGCGTGTGAAATTTATAACACAACGCGTGTACGCTACCAAAAGAAACGCAAACTGCTGCTCCAGCAAATCATCAAAAGCAGCCACCGGACTTTGTAACAGACTTGCAATAGAGAATCGACGATTTCGAACAGAACTACCGGGCCTAGAAGAAGAGTCCAAGAATTTAATTTAGAATTCCACGGGCGTAATCGCGACGTGCGCGAGCCAGACTGATTTAGCGCCGTGCAAAGAAACTTTTCACTTTCTAAGTGAAATACCCGTTCTGATCATACCGTCGCGAGGCGTTTCACGTCGCAATAAACGCTACGCGGCCTCGACCGTGAGAGCGGGCAGTGTTTCGAAGGAATGTCGGGGCGAGAGGTATGCCGGTGTCAAGGAAAGAAGAGGAGGAGGTGGAGGAGGTGGAGGAGGTGGAGGAGGAGGAGGAGAGGACATCGACTTAAGACGCGCGTCGCCGTATGCGCCTCATAAAAGCCAGACGCGCCTAAATGCTACCCCCTCTTTACGCCACACCCCATCTGGACCACCTTCGCGCGACCCTCCACGGTAAACGCATCTCATATAGAGACCCCTCACGACGTTCTCGCTACTCGCCGGTTGATTCAACCTCGATCCTCTCGTCGCATCCGCGTCTCGCCCTCTCTTGCATTTGCTTTCGCGCGAGCGAAAGAGACAGGGGAATCGAGATATACAGGCAGTCGCTCGTAAGGAATTGTAAGCCGGAAGAATCTCTCACCCCAACAACGCCATATGGTACCAACGGTTTACGAGCACATCTCGAGGTGCGCCCGTTGGTAGCGCGGATCGAATGGAGATTATTTGACGCGTGGATGTTAAACGTGTCACTCACGTGCAGATAAGTGGCGGCAGCGGTTGGACATTATTGTCAATTTTGCAAACGATTGGGTCGATAATTAATTTATATTCGTGCTTTAAACCCTCTTTTATGCCGAACGTATAAAAGTCCAATTTGACTGTGTAATCGTTTGTTATTTTTATAAAGTGAGGTGATTTTAATTTTCTCTCTCTCCACTTCACTTTCGACGATTGTCCAACTTGCTGGAGATAATAAAAGAAAAGAACGAACTGCTCCTTAACACGTTCTTAATAGCTACGGCATAAAAAAGAGTGATGTTGAATCCAAAGAAGACCGTAAAACCGAATTGCTATCCTCGTATCAATATCGTGAACGAACAAAGAGAAATGGCAGTTTCAATGACGACGGCGGAAGCGTAAGAAACAAGCTACTTAAATAAAATGGGCGATAGAGAATATTTATTAGTCTATAATATAACTTGTCCAAGAAATTTTTTTTAAGGAATAATATCTTTAAGAGCGTTAATCTCTGGCTAAGTGGAAAGCTTAACTTTCATCGACTTTACTCTTCATTGACTTAGATGTGAGTTCTGTTATCCTTCTAAGAAGATACGAAATTTTCTTGACAATGTAACTAATGCAAATGCGATTTATGCAACGCGAATGAATTGCACACCGTCTACAGACTACTTTACGTCGCTTTCGTACGTTCGCTCGTGGATTTGCAATAATATTGTTTACTCGTAAAGCAACAACCGGTGCGGCTTTTAATCTCTCCATTGTTACTTCGGATACTTGCTCTCTCCAGCCACAAATAAATATGTAATACGTAACTTTTGTGGTTAGTTCAATTGAGACGCAATAAATAATGTTTTAACGTTAATAACGTTACGTGTTTTATTTAATTAAGCGATTGCCTTTAAAATTCTATTTATACATAAAGAAAAAAACGAATTATGAAAAAATGGTTTTCAATTCTCTGGAAAAGTATTAAATTTTTTAAATTACATGTAGTTTATTGCATTAAAAAATTATCCAAAGAAATTATTCGTATAAAACAAATATTCTATTGTACGTTTGAAATCTAATAAAAAAGAATAATATGCTTTTTCTAACATTTGTTCCATTAGATCCATAGAACTCGCCTTAACCATTGCAGTTGGCAGTTAACAACAAAACGTTAAGAACGCATTTTCTGTGAAAGAAATAAGAATGAGATTCCCGCAGGATAAACCAAACTTCATTAACTGTGAATTTAACTGTTTCGCAAAATTTGACTTTTAAATTTCGTAAATTCTTTGACTTTAAGTCTACCATAGATAGGTGAAAATTGACGATAAACGATTGTTGTCCAGTAATTAGTACAACTAATTATGCGATACGGTAAAGTACCTGCTGTCTAAAAGGCTAATCGAAAGGCGAACTCCATATATTTAACACGTGGAAAAAGCTTTCATATACAATTGGAAAATTGTAAAATGATATAGAAAATACTTCAAAAATTTTGTCGATTTCTTCTAACGTCGCGTGTTTTCATTAATTGGCCATAATTTACTACTATCATCTTTGTATCAACAACTTCAAAAGAAACAAGATGCATGTAATTGGAAAAAATTCAACGACGCTTTCTACGAACAAAAAGACATATTCTCGTTATAATTTTTAATTGGAAAAAAATTAAAAATTGAAATCGTGCTGTAACCGAAACATCTTTTCGATTGTGTCCCAATTAGTTAAATAATAATTTCGCTTACTACAAATACATGAACTTTAAAATGACGTAAAGCAACGCCAAATAATTTTACACGAATGTACCGTAAAATAAATATGAAATTGCGTAAAATCCGAAACTTGTTAAAGAAAATACTTAATTTTTTCGTGTGATATTCTTCGCAATAATCTTAATCGCTAAAAAACCTTGTCGCTGGTTTAATTAACGTAACAGGATGCGATACCAGCTTTAAGCGTAATTTTCACGTTGTAAAGGATGAGTTTAATTAGTAGCAAGAACCACGCAGTGGATTTTAATACGTGTTGCAATTACGACTTTCAATGATACGCAGACATGATATGCCACGTTTGTTCGCGATTACCTCCGCGCGGTGAAGATGCGCGAAGAACCAAAACTATTTTTACCATTTTCCTTTCAACGATATTTTTGCGTCTTCATATTAAGCTCGCGAAAGTTTGGATAGCCGTAGTACGCATGTGATGCTCAAAACGACTTCTGAATCTCCCCCTTTTTATCTCCCTCGCCCTCCCCTACGTTCCCACAATATAGATCACCGAGAAACTAATGCCATAAAAGTAGGCCAATTTCGTTTCACGTATAGGCAACATTGATTTTTCGAAAATAATTTGATCGCCAGCATTAAACTGGTCAAATTGGCTATTCTCTATGAAGTTCCGCGTAACAATACGATTAATGGTTTCGAAAACAGTTCGTAAAAACTGCTTTCAGGAACAAAAAATAAACGGAGAGAAACAAGTTGAGAATAAATATATCGAAATTGTGGCTGGATTTAGCTCGTTTACTTTAATGTAACTTATTATATACGTCTAAAAATTGATAACGGATAACCTTCATCACAATTCAAACAAAATCAAATTGTTATGAGTATAGAACAAATGAAAAAAATTGATGGGTCAACACGAAAATAAATTTAGGTAAATATTAATAAAAAAAAACAGTTTACAAAAAATATAGAATTCAAAACGACCACCGTAGCGGCAATACTCCAGAACATTGTTTTGCGTAACAAAAAAATCGTATGATACTTTCTCAATCGAATGACGTGATCAGCTGAGAGAAATAGAATTTTTAAAAAGTTAGATTTAATATCGATCCGCCGAGTTTGCAATTTAATCGCGTATTTGCAATTTAATCTGCGAGCAAGCTGATAGATCTGCAACTTATGACGCACGTGAGGGAAAAAGACGCGCATTTTTTTGCCTTTTCAACCAATAACGGCGAAACGGGATCATTTTCTGTGAATTTCGAAAATTCAGCGGTGCTTTCGCGATGCAGCGACATCGCTGTGCACTTTAGATAAAAGCTCGCGTCCATCGTCCCATGGCAATGTGAGACAAACTAACGCAAATCATCGGTAGTTTATCTTTCGAATAGCGCTCAATGATATCGAGGTTTAAATTGTTGGATCTAAAAAAAATGCATATTTTCTACTTCAACGACGTGCACGTCGTTCGTGTCGTAACTCGAACTTGAGGTAAAGTTTCATTCCTGTAGGATCGTGAAACGCTAGCGTCAAAATGTCTACGCTGCTGTAGCTAGAAATTAATTACGGCTTTTAATTGCGACAATGTATGAACATATCAATATTAATCGTCCGAGTAATTAACGCACGAGTTATGAATTTATTATATTAGTGTGTGCCTACCATTCGGATATATTGTATTTCATCATGGCCAATATCTGACAAACTAGATGAAATTTGTATAAATTCCTTCACGTTACGCTGCATAATAACTCGAAGAATAAAAAAATTGCCGAAAGATAATAAAACAGTTGCGTCAATTGTAAGTTTCGCCCTGAAAGATTTCTGACAAAGTTTTTTCGGCTTTTTTTCTTTTACTAATACTTTAGAGAAAGAAGAGCGGTCTGTCGATGCGATATTGACGTTCGTACGATCTGAAATTCCGGCGGGCTCGAGGCGAGAGTTGGTCCATGTATCCGAGCCTCCGTGACGCAATAGCGATACGCGTATTGGTTGACGAACCGCGCGCAGATTCGCGAGAGGGAAAAGGGACGACGCGTCTATCAGCGTGCGCGCCCGTTGAGAAAATATGTGACGTACGGTATTTTTGGGTTTAGCCGACGGATCATCGATGCCCGCGTGTCAAGTGGCCGTGCACGCGGCTGAGATGAGAGGGGTAGGTGCGCCAAAGTGCGTCGTGCTTTTCCGCACAATCGGTTCGGACTTACACATGTGCTCGCCGAGCGGCCAGACTTGCGGTCCCGAATTGACTTCGATTAACACGGTCGGCGTACAGATCACAAGCACGCAGAGGTCGGCGACGCTCAGATTCACCAGAAAGATGTTCGTGCTGTTCCTCATGTCCTTACCCCGCAGCACGACTAGCGGCACCTGAGAATGTTACGCGGGGGATTTACAGCAGCCGGCTCCGAAGATTCGTTAAATTGATAAATGGATATCGATAATGTACGGATGCAAATAAAAAGGGCGATCAGATTATAGAGGAAAGCCGCCCTATTATGAGGCGAGCTCCTAATATGAGATGGCCGGGTTTCTGCTAAACTAACAGGCATATCTGTGGGTTCTACCGTGAATTTATTGCCCTTGGAGTGAAATGCGTTATGTGGAAAATTCATTGTTGGAGCGTGCAAACGTTGCAAAAGAGATTTGCGATTGAATTTGGATGTTGAAAGCCCACCCCAGTGAGAAATGATTCGCCGATCGATGTCAAAACGATGTCGAATCGACATCGATACCGGCAAATTGACGTCGATTCGACATCGTTTCGACATCGATCGACGAATCATTTCTCACTGGGACTATCCCATATTAGAAGTCTATCGCGTCATCGGGGACTTTCCTCTACTGACCGTGCGACTGCACCTGACATCAACGAAATACAAGTGAAAATTACCATCAGATTGCCAGCTATTCCCAGAATCATCACGATAATACAGGCTACCATCGAAGTCGTTCGGATGTAGGCAGGCAGCATGTACAGCGCGGAAGTGGCGTTCTCCGACTCGATTACTGGAATCGTGCAATTACGAGAGACTTAAGGGGATGCTGGAGTGATTCTGCATTTTTGATCCTTTCTAACCTAGAAACTCTCAGTTCGCGGAAACACTTGTGTAATATACAAATTAAACGGCTTACGTGTACAGATCGAAAGCAGCTCGCTATTCCGGCCAAGTGAAAGAACAAAATGGCATCACTGAAACTAAGTTTGTAAATCTAATAAGAAATAATAGTGAGCGACACATACATACAGTACATGTGGTATGTGTGTTGCTCGCTATTAATTTTTATTAGACTTACAAACTTGGTTTCAGTGATGTCATATTGTTCTTTAATCTAGCCGGAATGGCAAGCTGCTTTCGATCATCTGTACACGTGCCATTTAATTTGTGTA